ACTTGCTTGGGTTATATTCTGAGTTACCTCACCGGTTAATCACAATATACAAACTCAGGTGTGTTCCCCAGGCACGAGTAACAAGGTTGTAAAATTTCCATACAAGAGGGCTATACCAGATCATATGGACACACACTTGGATGAGGACCCCACAGTTTTGAAATCTCCCTGTTCACTGTCATGTCAGAGCAGCTCCAAGTCTTTAGCTTCTGTGGTGAGAGTGGCCTGGCCCTTGGAAGACACCAATTATTGCTGATAGCAATTTTTTTCTGAATCTGTAACTTATGGCTTCCCAGCACAAACAGTTTGGCTTTGTAGCAGAACAGAAAAAAAATTCCCAGAGTTAAATTGCTGGTATTTTCCAAGGTAAATATACTACTACAAAGAAGTTTTTGCAAGATAACACCACTATTATTGGAAGGAATATAATCTTGGTGGATTTGTTCAATTCTCTGTAGAAATTCAAACATTTTCAATGAGAGAACCACAGGCCCATTTTACACAGTTATTCTTCAGCTTATCAGTGTGGGGAGAGGAATATCCTCTCCATAAGGCCTCAGTGGCAAACTGTTGATAACAGCACAAGCAAAGAATTAGTGGCCTTTTAAAAAAAAAATTAAAAATATGCTAAGTTGTACAGAAATCAGTAGATTATTGCAGGATATTTTTCAGCCCACTTTCCAAACCACTAACACCAGAGATTACAATGTGGAAGGTGATGGATTAGAAGATTCTGGATAAAGGTTTGTTTGGTAAATAGAAACTTGGCCTTTGAAACTGATAAAGACACCACGAACCCCAAATAGAAAATGTCCTGCTTGCTTTCATTAATATATCTCAGAACCCCTTATCTATATGATTATTGCAGTGATTTCCTCTGGTATTGCTGAAAAGAATATTCTTAGAACAGCAGAATAACATATTCTATGAGTTTTTACCATTATCCTACTAAAAACCATAGCAGTCAGCAACTGACTATAACAGTGGGGGAAAACAACAAAATGCCATCAACTGAAAACAGTATTTCTTTAGAAATCACAAAAACAATGAGGCTACAACTCTTCCCAAATATCTTTCTTGCAAATTCTAAGCAATCTGCAAGAAGTGATTTTTAGAAAGTGACATCCTCTTTGATAATGGCATTTCAGTAGATGCCAGAACAAAGGTGTATTTCTGCTTGGAGATGCCTGAGCACAAACCCATCACCTTCCCTTGGACCTGACTGATAGGAAGAACACCTACAAATCCCATACATCTCATGATAAAAAATAAACACAGAGAACACAAATCAGTACCTGAAACTATGCTGTAAAAGTTTGTATCCTTCAGGTTAAAAGGTATAGAAAGGAGTAGATGTTGGGCTGTGCATGCCTCACTAAAAATTATAGTAGCCATACACAAGGAGGACAACAGTTTGGCTGAGTTTGCTGATCTGCATGCCTTGGGCTTTCCCAGGTTATACCAAATCTGGCAACACAAGTGCTTGGGAATTCAGGATTCATATATGCCCTATGCCACACCACTGTACTATTTCCTGCTCTTCTGTTGCATTTCCTAAACTTCTCTGTAACATCAGCATCACCTTTCTCAGTTTCTTGATAACTCCTCAAGGCAAAGTCTTTATATACTCATGTACCCCTCCTGTACCCTCCATACTCTTTATGTGGCTGCCAGCCAAAGACAGCCCACATCACAGCTTAGGGCAGCACATGGGAGCTGGCTGCCCAGCAGAATGTAAGCAGAGCTACTGCTGATTTCTTTCCATCATGAAGGCATGGCACTAATTAGCAGAAATCAGACTCTATTCCACATTTCTAACTGGCAGGTCTGATTTGGTAAAGAAGCCATTCAAGAACTAGAAAAACTAGCAATACATTAGTCTGGAGATAAAGTCCTATGAAGCTCCTGTACCTTAGGTATGCATGTGGCTGTCACTTTTGAAGCTCTTTGTTTTGGGAATTCTGAGACTGAGTTCAGGGCTCCTTCCACCCAACTCTAGATCAAGCAGCAAATTTAACTCTCTAGTACATAAGGTTCAAAGAAAATGTTTACAAGACACTGCAGTGAGCTGAGACAGAGAGGATTAAAGGCTAAATCTGCTCTGGGACATGGCATTCATGTTGGACTGATAGTCTGAATTCAGCCTCAAAGGGGGCCACAAATTTCATGGTTTTGAGGCAGATAAAACTTGGACTGTTTCTAGGGTTGGGCCTATCTCATCTGTCTGTTGTTATGTGGTGTCACTGCCAGGGAAGCACTGGGATCTTGGGATGGAAGACTAAGACAGCCTGGAAGGGTTCATCTAGTTTGCCCATGAAATTATCCAAAAAAGACTACAATCATAGTTCCTTCTACCATGTGCCAAAGAATACCAAAAACTTACCACAGGTCCAACCTTTGTGAAAAATATTTTGTGAGACAACTAGCTGGGCTTCAGGCTTGGCTGCAGAGGTGCTCTAGCAGAGTAAATTGCATTTTAAAATAAGATATTAAAATAACAAATACTAATGTAGAAGAACTACTACACTATGTTGGCATTTAAAATATTCCTGATTAACTTATTTTCCTTAATTGATTTTTATTCAGGCAGCTAATGAAAATTAAATATCCATCAGGAATTTTAGAGGGCTAGCTGTTTTTAATGAACAACATTTTCAAAGGTATACCCTTTTCTCCAGTTGTGCTCAGTCTCTGAAGTGGCAAAACCTCAACAACTTGGAAATTGGGGCAGAAGTGGAGACAAGGCTTGGGCTTAAAGAATTTTTTAAATTTCTTATGTGATAAATTAAATTCAGTACTGATGGTAGCTATAATGCAGGATACATGAGCAGGAAAACTGTGCAGAGTGATTCTGTCACCCATCGTAATTTTGTTTTCTTGAAACAGTTAAAGTGTTTTGTTTCCTGAAGGAAAAAGTGCTAAATCTAGCGCCGAGTTTATGGTTTCGTCAGTAGCACTCGGGTTTACAACAACTCCCAGTAATATTCTAACTGCAGTTTCCTTTTATCTGCTGTTATAATATGGCAGGGCCTGACACCTTTTTAGACATGAAAAGACTATCTTGTCTCAAGTAACAGCTGCCATTAGTCTCTTTCACCACTCCATTTCCAAACATCTCCCTCGACACAAGAGCACAGAGCCAAGACTGTGAAGATTCTAAAATTAAATAAATCTCCTCAGATTAGGCAATGTCTTTTGGTTAACTAGCAAAAGATTTATCGTGTCCATCAAATTTTGTGTTTGTTAGGCAGGTTCACATCTAGAAAAGCATTTCAATAATCTGTACCAATGGAAAAATGACAATGGGACACAGAGACATTGAAAGGTGATCTTTTAAATTTTTTTTCTAGCTCTCTATTTATATATTCCATGTAAACAGCATTTATTTTCCTTTCTTGTTAATTGTGGACATGAAATAGTGAGTTACAATGCTAAGGAATGCCAAGTAAATGTTTCAATTTGTCAAGCTATGATGAACAAATGAGCTGCATTTAATGTTTAATACTGTTTATAAGTGGAAATAATATTTACACTGTTAAGACAGAACCTATGGCTTTGCTCTGTATCTCTGTGAGCATCATCCAAGCTAGAGGGATGCCAGCAAGAGTGACAGATCAGGTAAAGTACTCAGGCTAGGACAGCGGTCGTGCAGAAAACTTTTCAGGAAAGACTAAGGATAAGCCCCTTACCCACCTCCACAGTAGCTACATTTTTATTACTTTGTATAAGTAGACCCTATTGGACAGATCAGAACAGATGATAAATGAAAATCTAGTCAGGTTCATGAGGTTTATGGATCAGTTGGTTTATTCTGACAGGCAGTTTAACAAACATTCCCTGCAGAAGAAAGTTACGTTACATCCCCTCAATTTATTTAAACATCATTCTCACAACTCTGAGAATTTGCAAAGCAGTCAGCACAGTAAAAAGCTCCAAAGAAAAATCATCCCTAATCTTTAGATTGAGTAAATTACATAAAGATGAGAAACAAAAAAAAAAATTTAAAACTAATTACCCTTCTGTAATGAATCACAAGTTTAATTCAAGCAACACTCACCCCCAATGATAAATGTTTTTATTTACTGCAATAAGCAGCTACAGCCTAAATAGAGGGAGCATTCTACATAGTTGGTTTTTTTTTCTCCACATCTATTGCTGCTTCTAAAGTAGTGGCAGAAAATTGGCACAAAATTTGGATGCACATATGAACAAATTGAAATTTTTCTGCTTTTCATCCTTGAACTGTACTTGTGAAACCCAATTAAATAGCAGGAAAAAACACCAACACAATATTTTTTCCTCTGCAGTTCTTAATATCTTATATCTCATTTCTGACTTCCATCATCCACAAAATATGAACTTGTCACAATTCTGACACAGTATTTTCATCTCCTCATCCATTAAAGCAGTCATCTCAAGAAGATTTAGAAAACAAAGAAAATTCCCTCCAAAAACCACTCTGGCCCCCCAGTTCTAAAGAAAGCTCTAAACCACAAAAATCCACACACTGTGGGTGAAATGGAATGATCCTCCCAACAACAGAGCACATTCCCATACCCTGGGAGGGAACAAAAGTGAGTGTATTCACATGATGTTGGCGTTTTTATTAAGGAAGATTTAAACCCTTGATTTCAACTTCCAGTATTCAAAATCATCAGCAAGATAAAAACAGAAAGAACATATGTAACCAAGAACAATGTTTTTCCACAAAAAAACCCACTCAGATCTCTCCATTACTGACCACTGTAAAAGGAATGGTTCTCTGCCCATGACATGGGGTTGGAACCAGATGATTTTAAGGTCCCCTCCAACCCAAACCATTCTGTCATGCTATGAATCTCTCCCTTTAAAATTCCCAGGTGACTCATTCTCCTTCACACTATTCTTCCAGCTACCCTCTCACATCCACTGGGCGCATAAGAGCCTCCAGAAGACAAAGACCATCTTCAAAACTGAAAAAAGTTTCCAATATTTCTGATTTTTTTCTCATTTCCAGAATGCATTTCTCATTTGCAAAATCAATTATAAATACAAATTTTCCATTTTCCCATAGAATAAACTAAGAAACTACCATTTTGGCCAATTACAGACTGTATTAGCTATAGGCTACCTATATCTTCCCTAAACACATCTGGAATTCAGCTTCCAAACTTGGTCCTTGACCATTATGAAGAACTGACATTTTCACTAAGGCACAGATATTCTAAATTTCTCTTGTTAAAAATATATCTTGGCAAGAGTTGTCTTCTTTCTGGCTGGTGCACAGAAAAAGTTGCAAACATCTAAATACATGCAAGGAGGCATTCCTGCAACAGGCAACTGTTGAAGACAATTTTCTTTTGTTATATGAACAGATTGCTCCTATAATAAAGAGGTAGGAAGAGCGTCTTCACATTTATAATTGTACTCAAGTTTCTCCTTTTTAAAAAACCCCAAACATGGTATTATTCAAAAAACTTGCAATAGATTTTCTGCAACTTAATTTTCACTCTATTATGAATTGAAGTGAATGTTAGATGGGATTTCAACCTTCTTTATGAAAAAAATGCCCTAATTAAATTTAAATTTAATTATATTTAATAAAAACAGTCATCAAATTTCCTTAAATATTAGATATGACAGCTACAACACCAGAGTATCCTTACATGGCTTATTCCATTCTTTGGAAGAGACACATCCCTGAAGAACAGCTTATTATGGGGCATGACAGATATAAATTTAGCTACCCTGCAAGGTACATCTGCTGTGTGTCCCTATCTGGTCCTTCAGAGATGGTCAACACAACCAGAAACACAGGATTTCAAAACCCATTTCAAAACTTGCAAAATTAAATTAGTGGAGGAGAATGGAGAATTTCAATTTAAAAATGCTGCATCACTTTGTCTTATTAGGAGAATCCAACAGCACTGCAGGCACTGTTCTATTAAGTGTTTGTATAAGCAAGACTAATAGCTATACACAAAATCTGCACAATTGGTTGGGAAAATAAAAAAACCTTAAATAAATCTCCCTCATCCTTGTATACTGTATCCTGATGCTTATGTAAGAAGTTTAGAATATAAACACATCCAGAAGGACTGGTACTTGCCTACAATCAACTGGTACTTTTGTTAACATTTTAGTTTCAAACTTCAGCTCCAGTGACAGCACCTCCTAGTCATTAAAACTGTCCACATAAAATTGATACATACTGCAGAAACTTTGAGAAAGAACTCAAGAGCTGACAGTTAACTGATAGTTAACTGATAATTCATAATTGCTATCATAATTTATTTTATGGAGAATCTAATTGATTTTGATTCTTCCTTTCAGTCTTTCAGACAGGGGAAGGGGACTGTCTGCCCACGCATAAGTGAGAACAGCACTTTTGTCTTGCTGTGTAGGAGAACCCAATATTTCAATTGATTGCTCTGGACTTTGGGAACAATTAATTTCCTCTATAGAGGATGGTTTTAGAGATACCTGCACTGAGAAACTATTAACAGCTTCCTTTAAATTGGTCGTTTTCTTCTTCCCTTTAATTGTAAGGGCTGAGTCACCATTTGTCCTTTTGCTAGTAACAACGCTGCTCTTTTTCTTTGTAAAATATTTTTTAAACTGGCCAGGGTTCAGTTGCCTTTTCTGCTGCTCATAAACCAGGATTTTATCCATGTGCCCATCATCACTGTCTTCACTAGAAGAGCATCTGTTCTGACAGACACTCTTTTTAAAAGAAGCTTTCCAAGTAGTTTCAATACAAGCTTCTTTAATGTGACAGCCAGTTGCATCTGCTGGCTTTTGAGATGCTGGAAGCATTTCACATCCAGGATGAAGTGTCTCTGTTGTTTGCCCACCGAAGGCTAGACATGCTGCACCACTTATATAGGGGTCTTTTTTCACCATGTCAGCTTTTTTGTATGCATCTTGATAGATACGTACACTGGATTCACTTGCAGAGTTTTCTGATAGAACATTTTTACTTTCCTGCACTAGGTTATTTAACTGACATGAGGAAGAGACATGATTTCTATCAGGATTCAATGTTTCTTTTGATTGTTTAAAACAATTCAAAGACTCCAGTTGCACTACATCTTCAGACAAAGGCTGTGATGGAATGGGAGCCTTCTTAAGTATTCGCTCGCTCAAAGACCACTCCTGAAGTTGTTCCATAGCATCATTTGAGAACAAATCATCTTCACTACCAGAATGCACATCAGTCTGTGTAACATCAGAATACTCTGAGCTGTTTCTTACTGTTTCATGACTTAGTGGATGTGAGTGTTTTATGCATGTGGTTAAGTCAGCTGCTGGATCACAGTCATCACCTCCACAGGCCGGTGAAGTGCTGAAGGAGGTTCCTTTCCCATCAGTACTGCTCAGTTGCAGACCAGCTGGTACAGAGGAAGAGGATGATATCCCTGAACACTTTGTGCACTGTGAGGGCGCAGATGAGGCAGCAAGAGCAGCTGCTGATGCTGACACATGAACAGTTGATGTGCAGGAAGCTGAAGGCAATGCTACATCTTTTGATCCAATACTTCTCTGCTGTGTCTGATCTGGAGCTTTTGTATCTGACATGGTCTGCTGCCCAGGAAGAATTCTGTATGTAGGCTTTAAATTCATTTGAGACAGAAGACTGGTAACTTCATCATAAGCATTTGGTAATACCTTTTCTTCTGGTCTGTCTTTCTTTTCTGAAAAGAAAAATAAAAAAAGTGCCCTTTGAATAGCATGTAAATCACAGCTCATATTTCTTAGTGCAAAAGTGTAGAATACTTGCATATCCCTGTGAGGCATCATGACTTAATCTTCTTTTGGCATGATATTGTTCAAGAATGGGAGAAATTTTTTTTGCATTCTGGCAAGACACAAATCATAAGAAATAAGCTTGTTGACTTACTTTTCTGTTTCTTCTGAAGAACTTCTGCCTTTTCCACTTGATAAAGGGCAACAACATCAGGATAAGCAGCCTGAAACAAAGACTCTTCTTCTAGTGTAACTACAAACAACTTCACAGGCTCATCTTCTGGATCAACATAATGCTCTGAAAAAATAATCAATGTATTTTTAATATGAATATACACATGTAAGGAATGAAAAAACAAACAGCAAAGATTTGAGTACAATGTCGGTACATAAAAAGTCAATAGTATGATATTTGAGATTTATCTACAACTAAAGTCTTTTTCTTCCTGCCAGTCTTCTGGCATAAATGGACACACTACAGGGAGGAGTCTGGAAGCACTGAAAATTTTCTAGCTAGTAAATAGTGACAACTTCAGGTACATAGTAAAATAAGGTATGAAATACACAGTTCAGGTCTTACGAACATGTACCAGAAAAAGCAGCTGAAGACTGAGTCCCTTGCTTTTTAGATAATTTTTTTTTCTTTAAAGCATTGCTTCTTCTTTCAGGGTATGTGAAATTTGATGCACATTTCCTGTTATTTCCACAGAACAGTTTCCAGTCTCGCCCACATTCCACTGCCTCAGAGTGTTGCCAAACTCTCGTCCTCTTTAAATCTTGATCTTATCTTTTTCTATGAACTATTTTGTTCCATAATGTACATAGAAACCAGACCCACCTGGTTTTTGCCATTCAATTTCAAAACAAGGAATTCCATTTTTAACACGTGTCTTAACAATCCTGTAAGAAGAGAAAGTCCATTAAATTACTTAAATCTAAAAATATTTCAATATTCTAATTTGTAATGATTCAGAGAAAAAAGTCTTTTCGTAAAATTGAAATTACTATACCTTTTTAAAAAATACACTACTTTGTATACAGTAAAATCTGGAGTATAGGTTTGAGCACTGAAGCAATTTTATTTGCCACTCAGAAGAGTATTCACACAAAATAACAGACAAACATAATGCAGTCTCCTACAAACATTAGTTTGGTATCTTCAGCTGACCTCCCTGAAAGGCAGGTCCTGCTTGACCAACCTGATCTCCTTCTTCAATAGGGTGACCCACTCAAGGGGATGAGGGAAAGGCTGTGGATGTTGTGTGCCTAGACTTTAGTAAAACCTTTGATGCTATGTCCCACAGCTTTCTTCTGGGGAAACTGGCTGCTCATGGCTGGGATAGGTGCACTGGGTTAAAAATGGCTTGGATGGTCAAGCACAGAGCAGGGTGGTGAGTGGAGTTACATCCAGCTGGAGGCCAGGCACTGATGGGGCTCCCCAGGGCTCACTACTGGGGCCAGACCTGTTTAATGTCTTCATCAATGATCTGGATGAGGGGATCAAGGGCACTCTCAGCCAGTTCACAGATGACACCAAGCTGGGCAGGAGTGTTGTTCTGCTGGAGGGCAGGAAGCTCTGCAGAGGGATCTGGACAGGCTGGACTGATGCTGAGGCCAATGCTGTGAGGTTCAACAAGGCCAAGTGCTGCCCTTGGGTCACAACAACCCCTGCAGTGCTACAGGCTGGGGAACAGTGGCTGGAAAGTGGCCAAGAGCAAAAGGATCTGAAGGTGCTGGTCAACAGCAGCTGAACATAAGCTAGAATGTGCCCAGGTGGCCAAGAAGGCCAATGGGATCCTGGCTGTATCAGCAATAGAGTGGCCAGCACAGAGAAGTGATTGTCCACCTGCATTCAGCACTGGTGAGGCCACACCTTAAATCCTGTATCTATTTCAGGGGCCCTTACCACAAGGGGTGGTACTGGATGTGCTGGAGCATGTCCAGAGAAGGGCAGTGGAGCTGATGAAGGGTCTGGAGCACAAGTGTGAAAGGAGCAGCTGAGGAAGCTGGGGGTGTTTAGTGCAGGGAGGACCTCGTGGCTCTCTACAACTGCCTGAAAGGAGGTTGCAGACAGGTGGGGGTCAGTCTCTTCTCCCAAGTAACAAGTGATAAGAAAGGAAAGGAAATGGCCTCAAGATGTACCAGGAGAAGACTAGATGGGATATCAGAAAAAAAATTCTTCATGGAAAGGGTTGTCAAGCATTGGAACAATGCCCAGCAAAGTGGTTGAGCCACCAACCCTGGAGATATTTAACTTAAAAGATGTGTAGATGTGGAACTGAGGGACATGGTTTAGTGGTGGGCTTGTCAGTGTCAGGTTAATGGTTAGACTTCTCCAAACTAAATGATTCCATGATTTTAAGATAATAATGCCAGAGAAAACTGTTGCCCTGGACAATTTTCTGAATGACCAGACAGGGTCATTTATATATTTTGTGTGAGAGCATGAGGAGGGATAGAACTTGAACTGAGCAGGGACAGTCAGTCACTATGAGATTTTTCTAAAAAGACTATCTACACTCCAGTTTAGTAGTTTCCTATGCATGAATAGTAGGATCATGCTGATCCTGCTGAACCACTACTCATTTTTAAACACTTGTTAACAAAGGAACCCTTTGAGAGCATACACCATCTGTCTTTTAAAATCTTGAAACACTAGAAAGTGTTATAAACAGAGAATTATAAACATTATAAATTATAAAGTGTTATAAACAGTGAATTCAATCATCAAGGTAAATGCTGGTAATTTATCTTGCCAATCTATTTAAAAAGCATTCTCCAACCAGTCTCCCCAGTCTTGTGAAAGATAACACTGAATAGATCAGCATCTCTGTCAGTACTAATTCAAGACTATGACACATCAACTCAGAAGTCATACTATCACACTGCTATTGACTGTCCTCCTGTGCCCCAAAATTCATGTCTAAAAACCTTGACAGAAAAATGACTAACCTTCTTCCAATAAAACAATTGGGGAGGGAGGGAGAATTTGGGTTTCATTTGGGAAACGAAATCATCAGATAAAGTTAAAATAAGTCACAATTCCCTTCACAAAGTGAAGTTCAGATCTGCCAACAGACACTGTAGATTCTAGAAGCCGACTTAAGTTTAAGAAAATATTAGATCATTAAAAAAATAAATTACATTGAGGGCTGACAAAATAAAAAAATACTAATTCTGGCTCAGCAAATTCCTAAGTAACAGAAATATGGATGGTGGGAAAATATTCTGGGAGAAAGTAATTACATGCTTATCTTGCTTTTTCTTCCCTGCATGTCCATTTTTAGTAACAGTATACTTGGCCATTTTTACATTCCTAAATGTAGCAGTCCTGAATGAAAAGTAGTGTTGACACATAATACAATGAAAGCTGGTAGGTCTGATAAGCAGAGACTATGACTGAATTTGCAGATGCGCATTTCTAAACCTGAACTCTTATTTTGAGGCACAGAATTCAATTACATGTCTGCTAAGAACCTGAGCAGAGGACCTAGGCAGATCAAATGAAAAGGAACAAAAAGCAAGCATAGGAGAACACAAGCACTGCCAGTTAGAAAGAAACTGCTCAATGTATTACTTTGTAGAGCAGCAGTAGAATTGGTGCACTGATCTGAATTTTTACCTCTATTCAAAACAACTTGAAACAAAGATAGAAGAAAACCATATTTCCTTTTTTTTTTTCAGAAAAGCCTTGTGGTTTTTATCTGCCAGCAGAAGCAAACATATTAAGTTCAAGAAATCAAGCTACAATACCTTATTGCCTGCAGTTGTTTTGAGTCAATGTATCCAGATTTTCTCTGGATCATATCATAACGTGTCAAAAGTGCTAACAGCTTCTTACAAGCGTAATGTTTGGTCCATTCCATCTTCTCTGAAGCAAACAGCTGTTTGTATAAAAAAAAAATCCCAAACTTTAAAACATTCTTTATTCTGTCAGATAGTATGCTTAGATAGTTATGTAGTTGGGACACTGGGCTAAATACTTAAAATATCTAGGGTGCTTTTATACATTAGTGTAAGGCCCAACAACACCTTACCGCCAAGGGAAGGAACAGCCATCCCTACCAGGGCACATTCATCAACTGTCAGTGACAAGTCAAGGGAACAGTTGTGTGGTGGCAGCAGCAGGGATAAGACAGTTGTTAAACACCTTGTCAGACTGACATCAACTCTACCAGGAGCTGTGAAAATTACAGATTTCCCATGTGGGACAATGATTTTCATTAAAGCCACTTTAACTGTGACCTACTCTACTACCCCTCATTCTTACACTGTCATCAAACCCAAAAAATATAACATTGTAAGAGATCTGATTTTTCCAAAGAAAATCAAGTAAAAAGCTTACCCAGAAAACAATGCTCATGTGCATATATTAACACCCTCACCCCCATCTAGCAGTATTGGACGATGAAAAACAAAACAATGACAAGTGAGTTTTCTCTTTCTTCCAATTTTCTATCTTCCTATTTTCAGCAATTGATTTTTTCCAAAGTCATAAATTTTAGGCTTTCAAAACAGTGAGGTATATTAAGATGTAGTAGCAAGATTCTTTAATTCTTATTTCAAGTAAAATTACCAATGAAGATCAAAATTATCACAGATGCCTTTCTTAGTAATAAGTAAAAGACTACAAAGCTGAATATTCACTATTTTGATATATACCTGAAAGGATAATAAATTTGGCCTTCGACATTCCTTTATGTTGATCAATTTATTCTTGTTCACAAGAAACTCTTGGATAACCTTGAGATAAAACATAAAAGAGTCAGTTTAAGAGAGAGCAAGAAGCTTAAATTTAAACTAATTGACTGAAACAATTGATATTAAGTAGGCTTGTTTGTTACCTCAGAGAACGGAAAGCCCTCACAACTCTTTGCTTTTCTGCAGGTAAAAACAAATGTGTTAGGAACTGAAGACAAATGGGAAAAAATGGAGAATCTACATGTTCACCCTGCATACAAATGCAGGGAAAAGCAGTTAAATTTTCAGGCCATTCCTACTTTCTGATACTGTCCTCCACTGCATTTGCTTGTTTCACTCGCTCCCACTGATGCCATGCACAAGGGCAGCAGTGTTTGGAGTCACTGGGTTTGCAGCATCTCACACTTTCACAGAGTTTACATCCATTGTGCTCATGTTCCTTGTAAGATCCTATAGCAATAGACACACAAAGTGAGGAGAAAAGGGGTTCCCAAAATCTCCAAACCTATAAGGGCAATATTACAAATACAAAGCTCAGAACACATACTAATGTGATGTGAATTGCAGCTGTAAGCAGATCTGAGTGCATAAGCTGCATTTATAGATCTATAGTAAAAAACTGAAAAAAGACATGCAGACTTCCATTTTTCTGAAGATTTTTCCCTCAACAGTTTCAGATCTTAAGCTGGGAATTTATTATCAAAAAACTACAAAAGTAATGTGGGATAACCTGGAAAACATAGCTGAATAATATATTTGAATCAGGCTTTTCCTTCGCCAAATGATGGATTTGAATGAGTTCACTGATCAAAAGATGATACCAAAATCAGGGTCCTTGGGATTAATTTCTTTTTGAGAAAACACTGCCACAAATCTCAGCAATGATGAGATTTGGTCCTCTTGATGCAAGACAAATTAAAGCAACTAAAGAAATAGTTGCTGGGCAATATAGAGTATAACATGCTGTCTTTACTGTTCATGTTAAAAAGGCAAATATCAAGGATCCCACAACAACATTGTGGTAACATTCCATCTGCTGTAAACTAGTTTCAGATTTGGAGAAAATTAGTCCCAAGCCTTAGAAGTGTTTATATAAGAGTATACATACACAGTATTGAAATGTGAAGATGGCAGCTGAAAAGCATTTTTACTGCTAGTAGAAAAAAACTCATAACCCAATAAAACAAAACCCATCACCCCATAATAAAAAGTAAACAATTAAGCTAAAAGTACAGCTCAGTACTTTTCACACTGACCTGGATGATGGCACTCTGAACAGTGAATTACCCTTTTAACAACCAAAGGTGGATTATCATCATAGTGAAATTCTTCCTTCCACTGCTCAAACCTAAAAGGATGATGTTAAAAGGATCAAGAAATATTTTTAGCTTTCATATTTAAACCACTGAAAAATAATCTCTTTATACTTCTCAAGCATTTATCTAAGAAACAGTTTTTCAACGTATGAAACAGGGTTCTTTTACAGTACATCATGTTGGATTTCTAGCATAGACACACACATTATGATAACAAACATAGAAAGCATTCGGTATCTCAAATCCTAATCCACAACCCAATTAAAAATCTGTAATTCTCATCAGTCCCTACGACTTTCACTCCAATACATCAACTTATACCTGCTAGCTCAAGAACTAGGAGCCAGCTAATGTTTAAAACAATAAGAGACTTGCCTAGCAAAACACTCAATCCCTTTAGCAAGCACAGGGTAAGGAATGTGGTAATATCCTCCCTAACTAAAGTATTACAAATATTGTCTTGGAGCTGAAGTACATACTATTAAGTGTTTGAATAAAAAAGCACTTACGTAAATTGCCATTTTACCTTTGCAATAAGTTTTGACCTCGCAGAGTCTCAATTAACTTTAAAGCTTGTTCCTTCCCTACTCCTGGAACCCCCTATAGAGAAATATGAAATATTATTTAATTACAAACAAAATATTATTACAAAAATATCTTTATTATATAGTGTAGAGAAATGACAAAAAGTGATTTCAGATGTTGAGAATAAATTGAGAAAAATATTTTTGACCAAGTTTAAGGGCAGATTACAGCTATACTGCCAGTGTAACACGCAAGCGGTTCTTATGCTCAACAGCACCTCAGATAAAACAAGGCAAAGAAAGAAGTAGAAAGCAATAATAAACTAAAAGAAGCTGGATTCAGAACAGAGAAGTGAAACACTGGCACAGGTTGCCCAGAAATACTTAAGGTCAGGTGGGAATGGGGCTCTGAGTGACCTGGTTTAATTGAAGATGTCCCTCACTGCAGGGGGGTTGGACTAAGTGAACTTCAGAGGTCCCTTCTGACCCAAACTATTGTATCAGTCTATGATTTATAACATACATACTGCTTTCCAGTTCTTTCCATCTTCACCCTATTTTGCCAAGAATCAAAGATTGTATTGAGTGTACTTTCTACAACATCATTACAAATAAATCTGTATTTATTCAGCTATAATGGCACAACTGAATACATACAACCATATAAAATAATACATTTCAAACCAAGTCCTCATTGGACTACAGTCAGACATTGAAGTAAAGTCAGATATTCAGCTTCTCCAAGGAAAGCATTATTTCTATGTATTTTCAACAAAATAAGTGCAATTATAGTGTGGTATTCTCATTTATCTGTTCTGCCAATCTCCATTCCCAATGCACTACCAAAATTCAGCTTTCATTACAAGTTTCTGTCTTTATCTACTTTGCTGAGCTGCAGTAATTCAAAGGACCTATCTGACATCACACAATTGTGACATTTTAGGACTATGTAAGAACCTGGCATGCTAGGAGCTGCTTTGGTACCATAACCACTGATTATCCACTGGTTTTTTTACTCCCTCACTTGACACAGTAGTAACAAGCTATTTAAAGATTTCTAGAACAGAAAAAAAATTTAAAAAACTCAAAACAAAAATAATGAAAGGTTTGTTTTTTCCAGAAGTATCAATTGTTTAAAGGACAGTTTTATCAAATTGCAACACAATTATTTAAGAATAACTAGATATCCATGGCAAGCCTGAATAGCAGCAACCATTGCCTGAAGTCACTACTGATGAACTGTATGGAAATCATCCCACTTCTTTTCCCTTTCAAATAGCCATTACAACAGCTTCTGTTCAAAGTCTCGAAAAAGAATCCAAGAGTTTACAGGAAAGAAAGAAAACGTGAAGTAGTAATGAGTGAGATTCCTCTCAATTAATTAGGTAAACTTCCAAATAGATCACTTCTACTTCTTTGTAAATTATATGTTTACAAACAAAGGAACAGGAATGCATCCAAACTGCATCCAGAACTGCCTTTACTAATAATTACAGCTCAAAACCATCACTACTCAGTCTTCCAAAGAGCACAGACAAAGCCATTTTTTCTCATTTTCCACAGCCCCTCTGCTAGGAACACATTTGTATGTGACTTTTTCAAAGTATCCTCATAAACAGTGGAGTTCTCACACCTTGGCTCAATATAATCAGCATCAAAACTTTTGCCTTCACCTCCATTATAGAGAAGGTTTGGAACAACACAAAACAGTCTTAGAAAGACTGATGTTCATGAACCATTTTGCATATCTTCAGCCTTTTACTAAAAGGCTAAAAATAGAATTTACAGTGACTTACTACACATCTTCTACTGGATCTCAGTAATCATGCACTGCATAAGCTTTCCAGCATGCACATCTCCCTTGTTAAAAGGGAGTTTTTCAAGACAATGTAAGCACCAAATAAAAAATAATTATATTGCTTACCTTTGGAAGATAATCACAGCCCAGAAGAACTGCTAGCCCAATCAAAGACTCTCTGTCACAACCAAGTTTCTCTTTAATAGAGGACATTGTGTAACTGTCCAGATGTGGATCCTGCAAGAGAAATTTATTCCATATTATTTCTGTTACATCAGGGAAAGAACTGCCCTGAGTTCAGTTGGGATTGCTTACTCACCCCTATTCACCCACACGTGCAGGAAAGGGGTCTACCCCATAAGAGTGGTCTAATAGAAAAAAAAAACCTGCCATTAAAATTTATAATGTAATGCATGGACACCACATGAACAAGCTCTGGAACTTCAAGTACGGGCATCAACTGTTGAAAGAAACTAAAATAAGCCAAGAGGTCCAGCACACAGCTGGATAACCACGTTACATGATAGATGAGCAAATGGCTCACAGGTCTGGCACAGTTACAGTGGATGGGGTTAAATCAAGCTGGTGACCTCTCACTCGAGGAGCTCCACAGGGCTCCTATTGTCAGCCCATTTCACAACATCTTCATTAACATCCTCAACTTGATACCAAAAGGGTTAATTCGATTTCAGGACTGGAAAGAATACTAAGTAAGTTTACCAACAACACTAAATTGGGAGGAGTTGTTGACTCCCTGAAGGGCAGAGAGAGAAACTAGAGAGATGTGCCTTCACCACCCATATGAAGTTTAACAAGGGGAAATGCTGGATTCTGCACCTGGGATGGGCTAACCCTGGCTGTGTGCACAGACTGGGAATGAGAGGCTGCAGAGCAGGGCTGCAGAAAGGGACCTGAGGGTTCTGGCTGATGGCAAGTTGAACATGAGCCAGCAGTGCCCTGGCAGCCAGGAGAGCCAACCCTGTCCTGGGGACATCAGGCACAGCATCACCAGCCAGGCAAGGGAGGGATTGTCCTGCTCTGCTCTGGGACAGCCTCACCTCCAGTGCTGGGGCAGTTTTGGATGCCACAATATTAAAAATACATTAAGCCATTAGAGATCATTCAAAGGAGGCAAAAAAAAGATGGTGAAGCGCCTTGAGGGGAAGCCGTGTGAGGAGTGGCTGAGGACACTTGGTCTGTTCAGCCTGGAGGAGACTGAGGTGAGACCTCACTGCAGCCTTCAATATCCTCACAAAGGGAAGGACAGGGGCAGACACTGATCTCTGATCTTTTCACTCTGGTGACCAGCGACAGGACTTGAGGAAGCAGCATGAAGCTGTATCAGGGGAGATTTGGGTTGAGTATCAGGAAAAATCTTTTTACCCAAAGGGTGATTGGGCACTGGAACAGGTTCCCCAGGGAAGTGGTCACAGCACCAAGATACACCTGACAGAGTTCAAAAAGTGTTTGAACAAGGTTCTCAGGCACATGGTGTGATACTTGGGGTGTCCTGTGCAGGACCAAGCATTGGACTCAATGATCCTGATGGGTCCCTTCCAGCTCAGTATATTCTTCGATTCTAGGTGTTTTTATTGTTTACTACCTGTAGAAAAAAGTGTGGCAAAACTAACATCATCAAATGCTAGTCATTGTGCAAGTCATTTCAGGAAGTGAAGCTTTTAAAATGCACGTCAACATTTCAACGTACTATTTAAGTAAAATAAAAGAAAAATAATAAAAGCGTTACCTAACATGTTAGGCATAAGCTAAAGGAATATTTGAAAGGTAAAGGGACTCAAATACAGAATGGAATCAAGATTAACATGAATTAAAACATAGGCCACTGCCTTTTTCCTCAGTCATGACAAAAATATCCCCCCACAAGCCAATAAACCAAAGCGATCCATTTTGCTAGAACAGATGCCCCTGACAGACACACACTCAAATTATTTTTTATGGTGACCAGTATATATATATAACTAAGTACACATGAAAGACTGAGCTTGCCTTCACTGTTGCTGATAAATGACAAGGAAGCTGAATGAAAGAACCAGGTCAAGGAAGAACTCAAGCATGGTGTCACCAAAGCAAATAACCTTCCATCAGCCCTAATTATTTTTTAGAGTTAATTATTTCTAGTGCACTTTTTTTGTTCTATTGATTTTATCATATCTCTGAAGTATTTTCTCTACAAGTCTTTCAGATGAACTTTATAAAGTAGCTTTCCTCTCACAGCCAATACAAGAATTACCAGTAAATCAAATAAAATGTTCCTGTCCTAAACAATACTATTTTGAACAAACTCAACTACTACAAGGTAAGTTTAATAACATTAAGTATTTTTTCCAAGTCCCTTCTTCCTACTTACATTTCTGTAAAGAGTCTATAGAAAAGGTGGAACAGGGTGAAGTACATTACCTTGGCATTCATGGCAAAGTTCCTATAAACTGTTTGAGCACCATATAAAAAAACATCTCCATCATTGGTAATGCAGCCATCAACAAGTCCTTTTGCATTTAGGTAGGCACACATTGCTTCTGCTTCTCCAGCTGCTTGAACCCAAGGAACACCTAAACATTCCAGCAGTTCAAGACACTAAAAGAACACAAAAGGAAAGAGGTTGAATGATGAGCTATTAAATTCACTTATTAGCATGCATTTTCTCAGACACAAGTGCATATAAAAACCGCTACTGTTGCGCCTATATAATACTACACCAATGAAAGCACTACTTTAGCAAAAAATAATTTCCTGTAACAGTGAAAAGCAAATATCCACAAAGAGCTAAGTATTAATTACAGGACTTGAACACAGCATGATTAACGGCCACTCCTTCACAAAAATCTTTACACTTTAAATAGATATTTAGGATGTTTTCAGAAGAGTAGTAACAAAGGAGTATTTATCTTTGAGAAGTAATGCTGTTTACTCAAGCAGTAATGCTGAGCCAGAACAGACATCTTCCAACAGGTGCCAAACTCCCCAAGAATATCAAGCAGAAAAGTACAATGCTGTCATCCTACCAAGACTGAGCCACTGTACAAGACACACCAATATATACTTACAAATTTCAGAAAAAATATTTTATTTTGGAATTTAAGAATAAAATATGAATTGGTATGTACAGTCTAGTGAAGCCCTGAGTGTCCAAAAATTCTACTTCATAAAATTTTGAATAGATAAAAATGGTTAATGGGGCAGGAGGATATGAAGAAGTATGGATACTAACACCATAAAAGAACAGCAAAGTTAAATTTTGCAATAAATCCTGAGTTACAGGTGTCAATCACAACAGCACAACATGCACAGAAACATCAATGAGAAGATTATTCTGACACTGTTTCTCTTCTGTAACACTTAACAGATGCTGTAAGGCCTGACTTCAAAGGTGAACATTACTTCAAATCTCAAAATATTGTTTACATTTGTTGTGTATAAATTCGTGAGAGACTGAAATGTTAGGGGTTAATGACTCAAACAATTGGCCATTTGAAAAAGCAGCAGGTGCTTTGCTGAGGCCAGGTTTGCACCCTCCAGCCAAACAGGAGGAGAGTTTTTGGGTGTGTGTGCTGGTGAAACCTCTCATGCAGTATGACACACGAGGTGCACACCCACCATGGGAGGATGCCCACAACAAACCAGCCTTTGTTTAGCAACAATCTGATTTTTGAGCTGGATGAGGCCAACAATAAACAGATCCTGTGAGGTGGGATAATGCTTTTTATCTTGCCAATTTCCTCCTTTACACAACTGGTTCAGGTGTAAAAGATGAACACACCAGTCACTCAGTGTCATCCCACCCTAATTCACCCTGAAACAATCTATTAACAAGAACCTCAGTTACCTGGCCTTTGGGGGTGAGCTGTAGCAAAAGCTATCAATTACTTCACGTCCCTGTATTTAATTTGGTTAAGATTTCTTTCTATCACATTAAAAATACTTTAACACTCAAGTTACTCACCTCTTTTAACATGGCTTTAAATAAAGATCTCCCTGTCCTTACAGGTCCAGCTTTCTTCGAAGGCCCATAGCGCATCTCATTCCTCTTGCTCATGGTGTCTGCTTTCAACCTGGGGGCCTCTCCCTCCATGACAAACACAAGCTTAATTCCCATTGATGTAAAGAAAGAGAACCGGAAAAATAGGTTTCTGCAATAAAGCAGTGTTCCATAAGCTGTACTATTTGTGAAGACAGATTTATTCAGACATTTTCCTTATATCTCTTATATTTTCCTGAGCCTACCGCTGGAAAAATCCTAGCATTGTCTTTATCTCTAATGATTCTCTCGCCCCCAAGCTAAACAAACCTCTGATCTATAGTCCTGTCTTTGGCTGAAATTATTATATTATGAAATTGTAGCAGCTTAACAAAATTCCCAAGAAAATACCATGTAAGGACAAAAAAGATCTTTTTCGGGTATAAAGATGTAAGCAAACTTAAAAGGCTTAATGAAAATACATTCAATATCCAAAACCTGCCTTCAAACACATATTTACATTGATTCTTTTATATCAAATATTAACCCCAAATCTATCAATACAGGTACATCTGAAGTGACTGAATACTGCAGTATTGGAGAGACTTATGGATACCATTCCCATGCCTATTTATTTAATATGCAAACCAGCACCACTGAGGGGTGGAGTTTTACAAGGCTCCAGTAATAATTATTTAGACTACAACAGTAAAATTAACAGCCATCATATTAAACAGCATGTGCTTTTACTAGTAATTCCAGTATCAATCTTTCAGAAGGAGTACATCAAACATTTACATCTCTTTGACTGACATGGAGAGACCATTACGCTAGATTTAATTTCATACAGATACTACTGGCAAAGAACACTAAGCTGGTCTTTTGAGGTTAGTTCTATTTTCACAAATGATGTAAAAAGTCAATCCATACAATAGGTTACTTGAAAACACAAATTCTCAAAATTAATTTTCAGTTGTCTGAAAACATTTTTTTGGTAAAAATCTGTTCAACCCTTTGTCTTGCTTTGGAGGTCTGGACTGATGCTTCCATTGCACTGCTCACAGGACATCCTCATCAGAGTGATGTAATGACTTTGGTCATGCTGCCAGTTTTATAGTTAATTATCCACTTGGATTTGTAAGCATAAAACATTTTAAGATATTATTCTCAGAAAGTGCTGAGATTTTCTATCATGCTGATATTTCATATCATGCTGAATTCAACAGAAGTCACCGGAGTGTATAACACCATCCAGTAACTCAGTGTTCTGCACTGATAACCAATAACAAGCACTGATGAAAATTTGTGTATGTTTTCATTTTTGTTAGCTCTGTTTGCAGAAAATACTGCTTTGAAATTATAGGTGCTTAGACATGTTCATTCCTTGGGTAAGTCATTTAAATTAAAAATCTATCTATATTCTTCAAGTTTGTTCAAATGCCTGAGGAATGATTTAAACATATTTAATTCAACATGGGGGTCTTCTTAGAATTAACTTCAAACTCTTTACACATGTAGCATAAGTGATAACTGAATCAAAACACCAGTCATATGCATTTCAGATCTTACTCTTAGAAGTCTATTGAATAAGTAACATATCCAAATTATACAGCTCCAAGACTTTTGGCTCAAATAATTTATATGGATACCATACCTGAGATGTGGCTTGGTAACTACTCCAGCCATCTTTTTAACGGTCTGTGCTTCACAAACCCACAAACTTAAATCAACAGCAAGTGTTTTCCCTCTGAGACTACTCATGTTGACAGGTTGTCTCACAGGCTCGAGGATTTGCCACAGGTAAGCCACTCCCATTGTTTCAGCTTCCTTGTTGTCAGAAGGTAGATTTTAACTGTGAAGACCAAACAAAATAAAACAGTTTCAGAATATGACATGAAGTATTACGACTGTGAGGTTCAGAAGATAAATATATTTGCCACTAGAAGTTCTACTTTTATGAGCCAAGAACATTTGCAACTAAGTCTTTTAAGTGTAGTGACTCCAGTTCACAGATGGGTTATTACCAAATACCTTATTTGAATTGAACAGTTGCACTACTAATAAGCTGAACACAAAAACAAACAGAGTTGAGGAAAAAATAAAAAAGCAATGGAAAAATATTCATTTCCAAGTCTCACATATGCCTTACATAAACACAATCCAAGTTTTATTCAAAAACAAACCACAGGATTCTTAAGAGAATTACTTCCTGGTTTGAGGTAGGATTCACATTAAAATTTTCTATTCAAACGGCAGTAGGTTAAAGCTATTTGAGGAATATTTACAATGACAACAGAATTCAAATTTTCCTTGCATTCCAAGATAATACAAGAAGGATCAATATCCAGAAATTCTGGCTTGGGAAATTCAAGTTGGAGCTCAGGAAAAGAACAAAGATGGTATTGCTGCAGTGGTTGCTCACAGGTTGCAGACATTCTTAACATCCAGCTGGCATACTGTCCTGCTTTAATCCAAGCCTCTCTGAGCAGGGAATCAGCAGTGATTGGCACTGAAATCTGGGAAGAGAACTCCAACATAGGATTAAGAAGGCATTGCTTTATTCTGGCCCTGAATGCCTGGGGAATAGCTCTGCCCAACACGCATATCTGGCTCAGGACCCTGCACCTCTCTCTCGGCCAGGGATATCCACATTTATCTGAAAATTGTTACATTTCTGAACAACTTGTTACTTAAGGCAGGCACAGAACCCAAACTTAATACTTCAGGCAATCACAGAGCCCTTACAGGGGATTTAGGCAACTTCTTGCTAAGCTCTCAACACAACACTATGACTTCTGAATCTCCCTTCCAAACAAATGTTCCCCCGTTTTTGATACTGTGATGGCAGAAACACACCCGTGTGTATGTTTTGGTATTTTGTGACTAGCACTACCTATAATGCATACCAGTTCAAAACACACACCCACTAGGAGCTGCATTCCTTTGTCTTACGTAAATTTACTTACACAGTTCCACTCTCTATGGTATCCCATTACCACACTAATTTTCTTCTGTTTTCATTATTCTTCTGGTTTTCACATCTTGCCAGTTTTATACAAGGCCTCTAGCATATACTCTACTTTCCCCCCTCACAATACCAATTTATTCCTGCACTGTCTTATGGTACAAAGTTTGTCTCATTTATCATTTGTCTCATTTGCTTATTTATTTCCTCTCTCCCAATAGTAGAATATAAAAATCAAATACAATCTGGAATGTTTTGTATTTCTTTCTGCTTTTGACACTACCGTATACTCAGATAAATTAAAATGCTCCTTTGAATAAACCAACTAGATGACCTACCAGTGCTGCTAAAGACACGTGAGGAGCTAAGCCACTGTGTGGTCTCTCATATTTAACACCACAGTCTGCCAGAACAGCAAGCCTGCCTTTGGAAGGTGCATTCTTTTATACCCTAATTTTGTTTTAAAGCAAGGCAGCTACTCAATTCCAGGCTGTTTTTAAACCAAGTTCTCATATTAAGGTTTATTTTCAACATAATTTAGGTGTCTAATCCATTTCTTTAACTACTACAATCACTCAATCTCATTTTAGTTGTATGTATACAGAGTATTGCTTTTGTTATATGTTACTTGTTATATGTCAAGCACATAAAATTAGTTGAAAATACAAATTAAGCATACAACTACATAGTACAATCTTGAAGTCCAGGATGATCAGTTTCGCTGATGCACAGGGGAAGTATCCAAACCTTCCCAAAAGACAAGCACACTAATTCAGCTTCAGTGAGAGAACACCTAACAAAGAGGGGAGATATTTTTTTGGTGTTATCATTTGGCTTCTAGTCTGCATCAATACAATTTCTTAAAAAACAACTGTGTTAGTCAGTTTCTAAATATCGTTATGAAGTGTCACATGGTATTTAATTAATAGGAAAGGCAAATACACTACAAACACCCCATATTTGGTTAGATTACAAATAAAAAAAAAAGTATATAAATTGAAAACTAAACAAACAAAAAAGAGGTCGCCTTTTTCATTATAATAAAGTATAGCTATTTGAGGAATTCAGTTTTTCATATCCCATTGAATACATATCTAATGTGAGTTATGAAAGCCTGCAAGACCTACCAATCTTTGGGTTTTTTGAGTGTATTTCTTAAATATTTAAATTTTAATTTAGTGTACAAATAGCTCAACTACTCTCTGTCTACTCGGATTTTATTTAAGAGCTCCGTTCATCACAACCCTAGAGAGATAACAGGTTCCAGAGAAACAAGACTGAACTTGATTTATTTTCATATACTTTGAGATCGCTGAAGATAATTAACAATAAACATAAACACACCCCTACAAAACCTTCTCAATGTCTCTTTAGGCCAGAATGCGCTAAGCCTATAAAGCTTTTATGTGTCATATAGTGTTTTAAGACGACATTCTGCTCTGCTAAGTTTCTTACACAGCCAGAAAGGCCAGTTACTTCAAAATAGCTATAGAAAGCATTTAACGCTAAAATTCAATTTATACAGAGATACTTTCACACATTACCAAGGTAACTTGCAAAGGCAGCCAAGCATATGCTTTATGTCTCACCCAGAAGCCTTTAAAAAGGAGGAAAAACACGGCGGAGGAAAGACGAAAGCCCAGGCGTCTTTAACAACTCTCCCCCTCTCTCTGCGTTACCCCAGCAGAGCTTTGCCAATAAAGCTGCGCAGCCGAAGGACAGCAGTCTGCTCCAGCATTTGCAAATTCCTCTTTAAGCGCCTACGGGTCTTTGGCGCTGGACGAGCACAGCCCGAGCAGCCGCCGGCGAGCGAAGCGCCCGGACGAGCGGACTCCCGCACGCAGTGTTTGAAACTCCCGCCTCACTGCGCCGGCGCTCGCCGCGCACCGCGCCCACAGGAACAGGCGTGCCCGAGCTCCCCTGGGCTGCTCAGCCCCGGCTCGGGAGCGGGTCCGCCTCCGCGGGGACCAACGGGAACGCACAGCCCCGTGCGAGCCGCGCCGGGCCCGGCCTCACGGGCTGCCGAGCAGCGCCCGCTCCGCCCCCACACCCGAAAATGGCGCGCGCACGGAAACGGGCCCCGCGGGACGCGGAGCGCGCAGGCGCCGCACTCGCGGCGGCGGCTCTTCCGCCCGCTCCGGCCCGTCCCGCCCCGTCCGCCCCGCCGTGCGGGAGGGAGCTGTCCCAGGTAACGGGGCGCGGAGCAGGCGAGGGCCGAAGGGAGGGGAGGCAAGGGACGGGTGCCCCGTGCCGGGCGAAGATCCTGGTGGGCGCTGTCGGGCGCGCCGCGCTCTCTGGACAGTTGGGAGGGAGGGAGGGGAGGGCGGCCTGGCGGCCGCAAGGCGGGGCAACGGCTGCCAGCCGCTCCTCCCGCTGCTCCCGCTGCCCTCGGGCCGGCGCCGCGGGTGCTGTCGCAGGTGGCCCGGCGGGGCCAGTTAGCGGTCGGAGCTGGCGTTTGTCACCCGCTGCCCGGCGTAGGCACCCCGGCGAGTGTGAGCGCTCCCCCCGGCTGCCCTCCTATGCCGGCGGAGAGCAGGAGCGGCGGCCGCCCGGGCGTTCCAGCCGCCGGGGGACCCATGTCCCTTTCCTGGGGGGTGGGGGATCCTTCCGGGTCGTGCGGTGTTGGGAAAAGCAACAGGTAATCGTGGACTTGAGGGAATTCCTGCCACTCTTTCGTTTTCGCTGTCCCTAGAGGAGGCAGAGCTGCCCTCTGTGCCGCAGTGCAGTTCTGGGTTCCTCTGTACAAGAGAGACATGGAGATCCAGTGGAGGGCTGTGAAAGATGATTAAGGGACTGAAGCATCTCTGCTATGAGAACAAGGCTGAGGGAGTTGGGCCTGTTCAACTCCGAGAAAAGACTGCTGAGAAGGGACCTCAATCTCTGTGAATATCTAAAGGAAGGGTGTCAAGAGGATGGACCAGGTTCTCCTTTGTACCGAGCAATAGGACTAGAGGCATAAACTGATGTGCAGGAAGTTCCACCCGAACATGAGGAGGAATGTCCTTACTGTGCAGATGAACACGAACTGGAACTGGTTGCCCAGAGAAGCTCTGGAGACTCCCTTACTGGAGATACTCAGAAACTGCCTGGACACAATCCTGTGCTGTGTGCTCTGGGATGACCCTGCTTGAGCAGGGAGGTTGGACCAGATGACCTGCTATGTACCCTTCCAGCCTTACCCATTCTGTGATCGGTGGGTCAGGCAGTGCTTCTGCAGTGTTTAGATGGGATGGTATAGGCTTCTTATGCACTGGCTGCAAATGTATTAGGAGAGGAGTCGTGGACATCAGACATGTAGTCTAACATGGAATATCTGGCTCAGATAGTCCCAGAAATGTAGAGCACCCCACTGCTGTGTCTGAGGTTGAAATATGTCCCTTTAAGTACAACAGATAGTGTTGTACTTCCTTCATTATTATTAACTGCTAGTGTTAATTTGTAATTTTATTGATATTTGTGCAACTCTTAGATGTAGTGTGCTGTACATCAAAGATCTCGTATATTTTCTTCCTCTTCTTCCCTTTGCTTCTTCCTATATCTTGTGTTCATCCTGCCATAGGTTTGCTCTTACCTCTTGTCTTTGCTTTACCTCTGTGTTGCCAGCTGGGTGAAAGGCAGGGTTATACCTGGGCTGGGTCCTGGGTGTTTAAAGTGGATGTGGATCCCACAAGACAGATGGGATACCTTCCCACCTTACATGAATACCAGGCCAGTGATGGAAAGCCAGTGATGTGGGTTTGGTGACAGCAGGTTGGTTGTGTCAATTCTGGATGAGCCAAGCTGTGACCAGCCAGGTAGGGAAAAGGTAAATAGTTGTGGAACTCCATTGCAGTGAATACTATGGAAAGATAGGCCATTGATTAATTTAGAACATGGGTGAACATCAGTGGATTCAGCCTCTGCCTTCCTATGCTTTGACGTGTACAGGGTAAGTACTTTTCTACTATAACATGTAGCAGTCCTTATCGTTTTATACAGAACATTTGGGTCTTGCATTTTTCTTCCGGGGTATCATTATATGCATAACAATTCCTTGGTACAATTTGTAGTGATCCTTTCATTACTTTTTTAGTTGAATCTGTCGTTTCTCTATTTGCTCCCACTTATAGGTCCAGTTTTTATTCCTAACTGTATACTCTTAAGTTCCATGCTAGCGAAGTTTATTTTCTTTATTAAATCAGTACTCTTAATTTCTCTTCCTGAATGACTATTGGATTCTTGTTTGAGTTATTTACTTGACTTTGTCATCACAAGTTTCCATTAACATAGTCTTACTTTACATTGCAATATACTAAAGTATATTTTATTCTTTACTTTTCCAATATGATGCCTGATCCATTAAAAAATCCTTTTGTTAACATTTGTCAATGATGTCCATTGTTGGCTTGTCAGTAGTCTATTCCATATTTTAAAATGTATTGATGAATGTTTCTGCCAGTTTGTTTCTAGTATAGTACTGCGTACTTTAATAACCTTCAGATAGGTTGGATCAGTTGCTTTTCCTTTGCCTCGAATGGTTATTCCCAAACTGTTGTTGAAGTTAGGGTGAGTAGTGTTGAGACTGAAAGGAATGACTTTGTCAATTAAAAACTTTATGTAGAAAATTAAAAGTGCCTTGGTGCAAGAGTTTTGGGAGCAATTAATGTAAAAAAGATTGTCAAAAATATCAAGATGACATGAAGATAAAATTTTCTGTGTGATTACATTTATTTATTATGTTCGGTGTATTTACATGTCATTTTCTGTGTATTTATGTTTTAAAATGTTGATTATTTCTTCCTGTGCCTTTTAAAACATTATTTCTTGTAAAATCTTATTAACGGGGTCCTTGTGGTTGTGGTCAGTTTCTCGCTGCTTTTGGCTTTTTTGTACTCAGGGAAGGTTCTGCATCCACTGATATTTGTCCTAATTTTTGAGGCTACTTATTACAGATTGCTTGTAGTTGCAGTTTGTTTGCAATACTAGCTCTTTAACAGTTTTGAGGTGCAGGCTGTTCTGTCTTTTGCCTTCCTCATAGTTAGATTGCATGAGATTATTTTGTTCTGTTTTCTGCTCTTATAATGTCTTTTCCTTCAATGTTCAAATAGTATAGCAATGGAACTTGTAGTCCTCATCTTTAATTTGGATGTTAGTAATTACAACATTTAAAGCTTATGTTTCCCCTTCTTTTTAGAGGAAGATTTTAATGGAATAGAAGATTCAATGAATACTTGTCTTCATGTTTGGGTGATGGATGCCAAGAGCTTGCAAGTGACTGTTTCCTGGTTTGAGTAATTTGGGCATGAAGGCATGTTTCTGTAGTAAACCAAGAGTAGCATAGCAAAAGGTATGTAAGCTGAATCATGAAGTGTATTTTCTCCTTGATTTTTTTGTGTGTAGTATTAAACTACATAACATAAAGTGGATATGACAGTTTTGCTGTAAATACTTAATGGGCATCATCATTGTAATAATAATAGTAATAAGCATCATCATCCTTCTCCTCTTCCTCCTCTAATATTTGATGAGGAAATCCCTACCATACAAAATTACTGCAAGGGTATCAGATGGGAAGTTTATTGCATTTCTGCATTTGCTTTGAATTTTGTTAATTCCACATAATGGAAAGTGATTTGTATGTTTTATCTTTACCTTTTAGATGCCGTGTCATAGAAAATTAATGGGGGGATCATAAGACACTGTATTTTATAAAGCAATCAACAAATATATAGACTAGAAATTAGGTATTCTTTGTAATGATGTAGGAAATTTTGAAGTCTCCTCTGTCTCTTATAATAAATGCTGTTCTCTGTGATGCTTGGTAGTAGTATAAGCTGTCTGACCTCCCATCAGTTGAATTCAGGCAGTAGTTTGACCAGAACATTAGGCTGACACAAGGAAACTGCTCAGAGAAGCATCTCTTTCTCCACAGTGACCCCAGCATACAGATCTGCATGGTGAAGTGGTTAGGGATCTCACCTAGCTAATGTTAAAAGAAAGAAGTTTTTTCCTGCATTGCTTTATAGTAGAATCAGAGGCTTGAGGTGATTTATTATTTTGTTGTGTAAAGAGCTGCTTGGACTCAGGGGGATGAGACAGAATGAGAAGAGGGAAGAAGGACTGCTCTTCTCCATTGCAGCACGAGTTCTTGTGACTAAAGTTGTACTTCAGCAGTCTTTATTTCATTGAGTTCTCTGTAGATTCTCCAAGTAACTAACTTAAAACATTTACAGAGAGAATATGGAGCAAGACCCACTGAGAAGCTCTGGGATGGCCTGAGAACTTTGACAAGGGAACCTCTGGGGTCCTGGGGCTGTACACTGCACAGCTGGACCCAGCTTTCTCACAGACCATGTCACCTCTTCCAGGAGGTCATGTTAGGAGCTGTTAGGCTGACCTGTATGACTTCTCTCCTGGATCATCCCATCTCTCCCAGGGACAAGGAAATGCTTGCTTCTTGTCATTACCTGTATCCTTGACTAGGAGTCTTCTGGCCTCCAAGCCCCCAGTGTGTTTAGACATGTGCTACCAACTTTGGGCATGCTATGTCTCTAATGATGGTCATTCTTCCCTGCACTCCACACATTAAAAAAAAAAACAAACAAAAAAAAACCAAAAAAACCATTAATTTATTTTTATAAATAAGCAGCCTATTCTATAGGAGTGAATGTTAAGTACATTTATTGCCTCTGAATTTTGCTTGAACGGGTAATGTGCATTAAAGTTGGTTTTCATCTTTCTTAGACGGGAGGTTTAGATTAAATTCCAGCAAAGAAAGCTGAGTAGGAGAACATAATCCATTTCAGAAAAGTTTTGCTGTTAGAAAACTGTGCAAATGATGTTAGTTTTAGCCTGTTTTAGAAATTACCAGATATTTAGATATTACTACTGAC